CACCTGTATGCGAGACTGTCAGCAAACCCACAACACCAAGGAGCTGCCAGCACTTCCAGGGACAAAAACATACCTAAAAAAGCAAAACTAAAGACATTTTCCAGTTAAGCTACAGCCCACAAAAGTTTTATATCTCTGAGCAAAGAGATGTGCCTAAGTATCTCTTTGATCCTTCAGACTGGAACTTAATGGGGTATCAAATATTCTACTGATTCACCTTGAGAATTTGGTAAGGGCAGAGTCTTTGTAATGCTCAAGTTTTGAAACCACAGAAGAACACAGTAAATTAAAACCACACCACAGGGTAAAAATAGCCAGCCCAGCCCTACAGAGGGACATTGTTGGTCTAAAATAACCAGGAGTGGAGGGCAGCAAATGTCCCTGGTACAAGCCAGCCAAGTGTTTTAAATGCAAGCAGCCGGCAGCCACATGCTGCGGCTTCGAGAAACCCCGAGAACCAAATCTCCTCGGGGATTTGTATTCCTTGCTGGAATCTGGAATGGGTGAAAAAGACTGACTCGAAACTCAGGTTTTCAGAGCCTCATCCAGCAGCACACAGTGGTTTGTAGGGCTCCCCAAGACCCAACTCAACACCCTGCAGATGTGAGAGCCTGATGTGCAACACAGCAGGAAAACCTATGGGTTCAACAGGTAACGAGGACACCAGGAAGAAGAAAAACAGTTTTCACAGCAGAAAAGGCTGACAGAAGGCAGTCACACATGGGCAGGGCCATCAGAGGACTTGCCTGCAGCCACAGTATTGCAGCTGGGGCTCACCCTGCCCTTGCAAATTAAACGCTGGAATAACTAAACGCAGCTGGTGGCCAAAGCACAAACGCCGGCCGGGCACCGCGCGTCCCGGCCGACAGCTCACTGCGTTCCAGCTCCCGCAGCTGAGAGTCAGGCCCCGTGGTATTTCCCTTCCGACTCCTCGCCCGCCACGCATCCAAAGCCACCCTTTTCCCCAGCACGCTGCCCTGGAGCGCCTGAGCCCACGCTGGGCGACCTTCAAAGCGTCTGTGGTGGAGCTCCCCGGGAACCGCAGCAGCAGCTGCTCTCTGCAGCGTGCAATTACATCCCGGGAAAGAGACTGATTTATGGAACTTAAACAAGTACATACCACTCCTAATTACAACATTCCACCTGGGGTCTCTCCTTCATGGCAGGTTCCCACAGCGTCCCTTTATTTAGCGCCGGTGGGTTTCCACCTCACATTGTCCCTTGGAGGAACAAGCACAACTTACTTTTTTTAACACGTAGCATCCAACTTCTCGGTAGACACTGGCTGCGTGTCCAGCTTTGCTTGTGCTCTCAAATCACTGTGTTAAGTATTCACTTCCTGGCTCAGCTCCAAGGAAGGCTGCAGCTCCTGGAGCCTGCTCAGATCTGGAGCCGCAGACAGGAGCCGAAATCCTGTTTGGATACAGGAGGGAGCCTCCACTTTCCTGACAGAAGTACCAGCAAGTACTACCAAAACCCACAAGAGGAACAGGTTTTCAAAACCCCTATACAAAGTCTGACAATAATCCCTAGAAAAACAGCCATTCAAGAGAAACATCCAGAAAACTCTGCCTTACACACAGGAAGGTGGGTTTGCTTTTTACAAGCAAACGTGCTCTGAGGAGCACTTGGACGGTCCATTCAAACAGAGGGTGCATCCAGGCTGGCACACAGGTTTTACTCCGGGCAGCCTCAGGCAGACACAGGGTTAAGGAGCTGACCCATTTTCCACCCAGCAATAGGGCAGAGAGCTCACCGATGGCAGGACACGGCCCCACCGGTCCTGGCAGGGCTGGGGGAAGGCTCGCCAAGCGCCAGGCTGAGGAGCCAGCGCTGCTAGATCACAAAGCCTTCTTTATTTACACACCAGGAAAGACAGCACAAGGCAAACAAAGGCGACGGCAGCGCAGCATCAGCAGCACGGCCGCTGACACGGCCGGGGGTCCCCAGGGGAGCGCGGCTCTTCTCCGGCCTCCTGTCACTGCAGCCCCCTCTGTGCACCAACAGCGGCCACCTGTGCCAGGGCCAGCCCAGCAGTGCCCAGCCCAGCAGTGCCCAGCCCGGGGATGTCCAAACTGCAGAAGGTGCTGACAGCCACCCCCTCCTCAGAGCGGGGCACGTACGGAGCAGAGCAATGTCCTCGCCTTCCCGTCCTCAGGAGCCTCCTTGGCAGTGCCTTCAAACCAGATTGTCGTGCTTATAAACCTGGGCTCAACTGCCTACACGCAAGACAAATGAGCCCAAGCTGCAACCCAGATGGATCGCTTTATTCCCCAGCCCCTTCCCCGCCGGTGTTTGCGTCGCATGCAGAACGCTGTTGCTGAAGGCCAGGGACGAGCAGACTTGCTTGCATACAAAGGCTCCTTGGAAACTCACTCTGTGTTTACAAAGGAGCCTGGCTTAGCGCAGCCGCTCTGGGAGCGCTCGCTGCCCTCACGGGGGCTTCTCCCGGGCCCCTTGGGGTCGGTGGACACGGAGGCTGCAGCCACGACCAGCCCTGGCCAGCTCCTCGCCAACGCCATCTCCAAACTCCTCCTGTGGCTTCTGCTGGAAAGTTGTTTCTCCCTGAAGTGCCGGGTGCCAGCGCAGACGGACTCGGAGCTGCAGCCCGGTGCTGCCAGCGAGCCGAGAGCGCTCCTCAGCCCTGGCCCTGCTGCGCTGGGGCATCGGGAGCTCCATCAACCGCGAAGCCTCGAGAGCAGCTGGAGAGCGATCATAGAAACGCGGATCCACCCGAGCGCACAGGATCATCCCAGCCTGCCGACTCAGCTCCAGCTCCAGCTGCTGCCTATTGCTGTTCCCATCGCCTCCATGAAAGGAGGCAGCAGAACCCTGAGCCTCACCCCGCATCACGGGGTGCCACCACGGCGGTGACACAGCGCTGGCACCGCTGTGCCTCGGGTGGCAGCCGTGCGGGAGACACGACAACAGCGCTCCGCGCTCGGCGCTGCTGCCACACGCTAATTCTCTCTTCGCAGAGCACCGGAGCTAACGCTGATAGCTTGGAAAAGGGGCAGAATGGGGGAAAAAAGACGTCCTCAAATGTAAAGAAATTTTGCCTCAATGCAGTCAGTCTGGGATTTTATCCCGCGATTCACAACACAGCACCACAACCACAAAATATGTGTCTTCCACGAAAGCACCACAACCCCAGCTCCCGCCGCACGGCGCTTCTCACCCCGGTGCACGGGTCCGGCACAGCCTGAGCATCCAGCCCTGCTTTTGTTTCCCTTCAGCAGCTCTGCGATCTCAAATCACAGTTCCACCCGTTGGCTGGGCAGCGGTGAACAGGCTGAGCCTGCCGGGGGATCACTCTGGCCTCCCGTTAAAAACTGCTCTTAGAGAATTTGAGGCGATCAAGACAGCAAAACAAAGGATGAACGCGGCCGTCCTAGAGCAGGGCTCGTATTTCCATCCTGGGCGTCTCTCAGTACCGGGATCCCCAGGTCACACCGGCGGGAGACTCACCAGGCAGCGACAGACACGGAACACACAAACAGCACCTTGTGACGAGACATCTGAGAAGCTACAACACAGCGAGCGCAGGAAGCCCGGGAGCCGGAGCGGAGCGTTTCCGCGGCTCACAGCGCAGAGAGCCGCCGCCGGGGCTCCTTTCCTCCGCCCCGGCTCCCCGGAACGGGCTCGGGGCTGCGGAGCGCCGGGATCGGGGCACAGTCGCCCTCCGGGGCTGCTGTGCAGCGCAGCCCTTGTCGGAGCCGGCGGGAGGGCACCAGCCCCGGCCCCGTTCGCAGGGAAAACAAGCTGAAAGCGACCCCGGCGCTCTCCCCCCACCACCATCCCACCAAAAAGGCCGCCCGGGAAGAGCG